GAAAGAGAAGCAGACTTTCACAGAAGTGGGAGACTGTGTTGACCAAGATGGAAAGACCATCAGATAGAGAAGGACATTGAAAGCTGGGATAAGGAAAGATTAAAAGAAAGGAATTAGTGCTGACCTTCACTGAATGTGGAAGGCAAAGAGAAAAATTAAGAAGCAGGAGTCAGGCTGTGGGTTCAGGTGATGAAAAGAACAACTCACTACCTTGGATGGCTGTATGAGGCTGGAGGGGTGAAAAAAGCAAGCATAGATGAGATTGCACCTAGAAGCAAGGAGTCAAATGCATGGTGTTAGCATCAACCGCCCCCCAGAGAACAAGAATGTATATGGAAATGTTCACAGAGTTTACCTTTGAGGTATCAGAAATTCCTGTTGATGCTGCCCCTAACCTCCCTTCATATGCTTGCTTCCCACAGGTCTGGCAGGTCAGACTCCTGTGGAACAGGCCCTAGCTGATGCCATTGTGGACACTATTGATGATTTCATGACACTGTTCCCTTGGGCAGAGAAAAACCAGGACGTGAGAGTAAGACAATCACTAGTTTAAACCAAAACAGCACATAAGGCAAGACTCCACACCTGAGCATCTCCTCTGGAGACACTGCGTGTGTCAAATCCTGGGTCCCTCACCTCACCTCAGCAAAGCTGAGCTAGAGGAGCTCTGTATTTCTTCCTCAAGGCTAACCCAGCCAAGGCCTTCTGCCCCCTCCCACCTCCTCCTTCAGATTTTTTTCACCCTTGGTGGAAATAAGGCCATCATGAACCACTCCTCACTAGTTCTCCTTGAATCAAGGGCGCCATGTGTGCATACATCAAATTGCACTTCAAAGGGGAAAGATCGGACACCTCCACCGTGCAATACCTGTATCGTGTTGCAGACAGACTAAGCTTGAATCTTTCCCTTTCTGCTAACCCAACAAGATTAAAAGCCCCATCCCATCTTCTTTTTTGTGTTTCTGCATCTTGATTTGGGGTTTATTAATCCCAAATGCATCTTTATTACGGGGTTTTAATAAGTATTAGTTTTCAATAACATCAGCTGCCAGGGAAAAATGCTTTTCAATACATGGTGGTATAATACAGTGGGTGCTGCTAAAGAGGGGAGATAGCACATCCCTCACTATCACTGCAGCCTTGCTCTTCAGACCCCCGTGGCCTCTCATCGGTCCTCTGCAGTGCTTCTGCATATACTGACACCAGGCTAACACGCTGCCACGGCTGCGTCAACACACAGTAACAGACAAGTCCTACAGTGTTTGGGGTTGTTTTTGACATCAGTCCAGTCCTTCTCACCAGATCCTCAAGTGCAAGAGTGCAGATAAGCTGCTGGGGGAAGAGGGCGATGGATGAGTTAACTCCTGCGTTACAATGGCTCTGACCTGAGCAATGACCTGACCCTTTTAGGAAAGTATAACAACAGGTCTCACCATTTGCTATGGGTGCAGCCACCTTCCATTTATTCAAAGTTAAGGTGAGATTTAGATTATATATCAAGGAAAAATTCTTCACTATGAGGGCAGTGACACACTGTCACAGGTTGCCCAGAGAAGCTGTGGCTGCCCCATCCCTGGCAGTGTTCAAGGCCAGGGTGGATGTGACTTTGAGCAACCTGGTCTAGTGGAAGGTGTCCCTGTCCGTGGCAGGGGGTTGGAACTAGATGATCTGTAAGGTCCCTTACAACCCAAACCATTCTATGATTTCAGAAACAACAAAACACTGCTCCAAACCAATAATAAATAATGAAACCATATGAAAGTGCTCTGAAATCTTGCAGGAGAAAAATCTGAGAGCTATATGGAAGTTTTAGTGTTCAAAAACACGAATTGCTTAATTTCTTAGTGATTTCCTGAAGTTTCCTAATTTGGGGAGGGGAGGTTGACTCATGATTTTTAATCATTTAGGAACAACCAAACTATTGCTAATGTGCAGCACTACTGCTACTCCTTTACAGGGAAACTCCCATCCTAACGCCTGCGTGAGTCCCAGCTCATACTCAGGCACTTCCCCGAAATAATGACCCAGACCATGTCACCAGTGATTAATTTAAAAGGGGAGAGAGTTCTCAGGAAGCCCTTATATGCCTGCACTCACGTACGCATGCAAGGGAGTGCTTCGGGGCCAAGGAAGATGGAGCAGCTTAATTGCGAGGAATCTGTAACGTTTTTCTCACTGTTAGCTGTTCTCCCCCTCTCCTCCTGGGTCCAATGCTACCACCTTGCGGTAGAAGTCCCGTCTCATGGTCTCACAAGGACAGATAGAAGTAATTCACCCATTAGTCAGAAAACTTCCCCAGGACAGGTGACTGCAGGAACGCACATCCCTCAGAGATGGATGAAAGGATGTTGTGCTACCCGGCCGGTAGAAAAGAGAAAACCAAGCGAGGTGAAGGGAGCAGAGGTGGATGCTGCCTGTGGAAGCTCCCTCAGTGCCAGAGACAGAGTCTCCCTTCACCTTACACCCCTCACAAAAAACTGTAGCTGGCATTGCAGCAGCTTTGTCACGCCTTGAGGGAGAGCTCCAGGGTTGAGACAAGTAGGTCCTGCAACTCCAAAAGGTGGATCCTGTTCCTGTCCCCACCAGCATCACCAGTTGTCTGCATACTTCAGCTGGGAGGTCATTACTGTCATGATCACACGAGGCAGGTGACGCCTCACCCTAGACCGTGTCACCCAAGGCTCTGTCCAACCTGGCCTTGAACGCTGCCAGGGATGGAGCATTTACTAGAATTACTAGCATTAAAATTACTAGCAGAATTTACTAGAATTTTCTAGCATCAACCAGAAACAGCTTCCCTCTCTAAAGGAAACAGCTAACCCTTAAACGGCAGCCTTAAAATTTCCTGCTATGGGTAACAGCTAGCAGAGAAACACCCCCATACACAACCTCACCTTCATCCATTAACATAGAAATAATAAGGCCTGTATCCTTTAGGACAGACTTCAGCCTTGAAAAACATGTTTTAACCACCTCAAATCTCACTGCTGTGAAGACAATAAAAGCAGAATAACCTGCTAACATAAAAGTCCAAAGATAAACCCGGCAAAAGCTCAAAATCCTGGTTCCACATCTCATATGGGAACAGCTGGTAATAAAAGATGTGACCAGCATCTGACAGCACAGAAAGACTGAGCTTAAAGGATTCTGGAAATCTGAGACCCTGTGCACTGGAAAACATAGCACCCAAAAGAGTCCCCAAAAATGACTGTGAGACATCGACAGTCTATTTTATAGATGGATTCTTCCCAAATCTATGGGAGGACTCCCATCTTGGTGAAGCTGGGTGGCTGTTAGCACAGGTAAACGAGCAGCATCTTCCCATACCTTGTGTCTCAGCATCCAGGAGCTCTCCAGTGTGCATTAAGGGAGCAATCAGCTTAAGTCATGGCTCACTGAGCCACAAATGCTGTGGTTTGGGCATTTAAGCCACTTCATGGGCAATTACCTCAGCTTTCCTAAGTTGTATAGTGCCCCATTGCATATACCCAAGTGTATCCTCTGCATTTCTTTACTTACCTTAAGTAACTGCTGTTTGCTGTGTTAATCCTGACTTGGATGTTAACGTATTCCTTCTTCCAAAGAGAACTGGGAGCACTCTGAAGTTTGTGTCAGACCAAATGATTTCACTGTCCCCTTTTTCAGACGTCAGCTTTCTTTTTCACAAGCAAGAAACCCCCAAAGTTCAATTTTGTGGACTGCTGTCCTTACACACTGTTGTGCATCTTTGTGTTTTGTTCTTCCCCCAGAAACAAGCATTCGATGATATCCTCACAAACAAAGCACCCGAGTTACTGAAAGACTTGGATACTTTCTTAGGGGATAACACCTGGCTGGTAGGGAAGTCTGTAAGTATAGTTTTTATTTCTCTATTCCAATCAGGTTGCCAGAAAAATAAATTCATTGACAACTGTTGAATTTCTGGAATTCATGCCAGCCCATGAAACAACTCTTTTAACTCTTTGTTCTTACCAATACACAACCGGTCACCCAATTGCAAAGTGAGAACTGTTTTCTGTACTATTGGACAAGTGAGGCAAACCAGGACTAGGATCTGCACTTTCTAAATCAGTTTAGAAGCATGTTGACAAAAAATGTTATAAATGCCTTTGTACTAGTCAATACAGATGGGAGTTTACAACCCCGCTTCTAATCACTGATCAATTTATAGGACAATATGAAAATAGCTCTGAAAATGTAATCCCCCTTTTTTACCCCAAACTGGAAACCAATTAAAACACTTTTCTGTAGCAGTTTCAGCAGGGAAGATTAATATCATCATGCAAGTAATATTTGTAGTAAGGGCTTTATTTAACCATTTTTTACTTAAATCAAGCCTTGCATCACAACCTGATTACTCGCTCTGTAATTATAGGCCTAAAAAAAAACCCAACACCTTACACAAACCAGATCAATTCACATTTAATTTCTGCAGTTTGCTGAGACTATTAGTAGCAGTTCCAGCTTTTGAGATTACCAACTAAAATTTACTGCTTTTCCCCCATTTCCGCCAGGTAACATGGGCAGATTTCTACTGGGACGTGTGCAGTACGACACTTCTGTCCTGCAAACCTGACCTGGCAGACAACTACCCCAGGCTGTTGGCTCTCAGAGACAGAGTGCAAGCACTTCCAGCTATTGCAGCCTGGATCCAGAAAAGACCTAAGACTATAATGTAGATCAGCTTTTTAGACTGGAAAATACAAATGCATGTTTAGTTTTCAACATGACAAACATGCTAAGTTATTGATTTTAGAATCATTTAAATGAATCTCAGATGGGTATGCTATGCCAAATCAAAATCTACCACTTGTATCCATAAAAGACTAAAAAGCTGATTTAGGAGAGTAGAGCCTGAGGGATAGGTGTGGTTTCAACCACATTCTCCCCATTACTAATAAAGTGCTTGATAAACCCAATTAATGTCCTGTGGGCCCTCAAAGGGAAACGAGATGAATAAACCTTCCTGGAGAGATGCCATCTCAGCAATACTTTGTTTATTGTAGACTCCTGCTCCGGAGGAAAGAAGGGTAATTAACAGAGAGGATAAAAAAACCCTGAGACCTGCTTAGTCAACAGATTTCAAGCTTCTTAAGCACTTTCTTCAGCCTCTTTGAAGTGTATGCTGTGCCACTGAAAAAACAACCAATGACCAAAAATCCAAACCAAACAAAAAGCAGCAGCACAGCTGAGGTGATACCCACACCAGTGCCAGCTCTCCATAAGCACACCAGCTGCACACTCATTCAGCAGCTCACTATCTCTTCTAGTAAGGAGGAGACAAATTGGTGGGGGGCAGTGGTGGAAACCAGGTTTAAAATATATGAATGGTTTGTTGTTCTGGCACTGGGGCAAACAGATAGATGGAAATCCTGGCAAGGTGGACAGCTGTAGATGCAAGTGGTTTACACAAACTCAAGGGGAGACAAGTGCTTGCAAGAGGACTCCACTGTGTGGTGTAAGCAGATAAGCCACAGCAAACATGGGTATTCCTCCTGGCTGAAAATGGCCAGTTGGGAAAGTATTTCCCTTCGCACTTGCTTCTCCCTCTCACCGCATTGTTTTATTGAATCATACAAGTAACACCAACCAACCACTAACAGTTCAGAAACAAACAGGTAATGGCACAACTGAAAGCAAGGTCCAATCTTTTGCTAATTCCAGTGTGGCATCTTCGCCTCCTTTCTAATTCCTTGTACGCTTACAGCTCTCTACAGATTTTCCTTCTTCAGCTCCCACTCTCTTCCTCAACAGACTTCAGATAGTTGTTTATTTTTCTCCTCTGCTGTACATCTTTCCAAGCAGAGACATGGAATCACAGAACGGTTGAGGCTGAAGGGACCTCTGGATGTCATCTAGTCCAAACTCCTTGCTCAAGCAGGACCACCTACAGCCAGCTGCCCAAGACTGTGTCCAGACAGCTTTTGCTGTCAAGGATGGTGACTCTACAATCTCTTAAGACCCCTAATTAAAAAGGGTAGAAACAGTTACAATAAACATTAAAAGGGCAGAAACACCTATGAGCTTCATAGCACTTAAAGATAGATACTGATCCCAGGGGTCTAGGGATGTGATTGTTTAAGGAGTAACCACTGCTCAGTCAGACTAAAATAACCAATTACATGCACATACCACACCATAACACCACACAAACCACCCTATAAAGCAGGCATTTTGTTTCATTTCATATCAGAAGCAAACAGGCAAGAACATGTACATACAATGAGATAACAGTTGGGTTAGGATCATGCTCAACAGAAACAGGCAAGCATTAAACACGTGGTTGTCTGTTAAATCCCACTACTTGGTCCAACAAAACAGGTAGAATTAAAGCAACATGGTAGACAAATTGACTCTTACTCTTCTCTCATATAATAAAGTATTTCTTCACCCTATCTCAGCTGTGCATTTTGGAACGTGCAGCACAGCCACAAAAGATTGCTCATAGAAGCCAAGCAACTAGTTCAAACTCTGAAGCTTTCATTTTTCATCCATTTTGTACTTGCAGAAATCATGCACAGGTGGAAAAAAATACCCACAGCTGTAACTAAACCAAACAAACCAGATGCCCAACTCACAGATCACCTCCAAGCATCTTTTCTCTACTCTTCCCATAGAACTGTTTCAAGTTCCTTTGGAAGATGCAGTGTCTTCAGACTGTGATAACCACATACAGAAAAGTGGTAATTATCAACCCCATATTGCAAACCAGAGTGAATTCTAGGGTGCAATCTTCTGAGAGATTCAGTCTGATGCAGATTTACTGAGCTCTGCACTGAGTATACAGCAGCTGAGGCTTTAACAGAGAGCGGGGACAGAAATGACTTCCTCACACTTTGCCTTCCCCCAGCTTCTAAAAAAGCAGCAGTCTTAAATCTTAAACACTCCTGAGTTCAAAAGACTAAATTTCAGTCTTTTCCACTGTCCAGGGAAATGGACATCCTTCTCTCCTACCTCCTCAAATCACATCCTTACCAGGAGATTATAAACTTCAGGTGAAGGCAAACCTCATCACTAATAGCACTGAAGCTGTTCATTTCACTGAAATGAATTAAAAAAATGCACTGGAACTTCCAGAGAAGAGCAAGACATAAGCTTTGCGTTTAGGGCACTTCACTGTCAGAACACAGACCTGGTATCTCCACAAAGGACTGACAAAAAAACCTGCAACCTGGACGGAAAGTCCACTTGGCAGGAATTCTGCTTTTATAATCAGTATCCTAAGACAACTGTGACTGGAGAACAATGAAGCATTAGTAGTTAATTACTGCTGGATAAAGCCGTATCAGTACAAATGGAACATTTCAGCTAGTTTGAAAGCTATTTGTTTTATAAAATGCAAATTATTCCCCCTCTCCCCTTCCCCCAGTAACCACAAAATGAAATGTTTTGTTAACCTGTGGAATTTTATTTGAACAAGTTGATACAAAGCCAGAATGATACGTCAGATGACTCATAACTAGCTGGAACAGACTCGAGCATTGTCAAATAAGGCACATATAAAAAAATCTATACGTGAAATCCAGTGAAACTGACAGTTTAAATATATATATTTGGAGGTAGAAACAATTATAAAAATACTGACAGATCTTAAGCAGTAGCAGATTTATTGAAACAATTAGTACATAGGTCCCCATTTTGAAAGTCTGTAAAAGATGTTTTTTCAGCATCCAATGTTGGCACATTTGGGCCATTAATGTTTTTAAGCATTAAAAGAATGCCACTGGTGTTAAAAATTTTCCACAACATGAAATAATTATTATAAACTACAAAAAGTTATAAACGTACATAAAACTCAAGTTAATCAGAAATGTAGAGTCCATGGTGTAAAATATCACTCTTCTTCCTTGAATTTCACAGCATATTTAGAGACCTAATGAAGCTTTTAATAGTGTGGCTATATCTGCTGGAATGCTTCCTTCTTCTCCTAAGGAACAGGAACAAGTGTTAGTACAGCTCAAAATGTTTCACACAGACAAAAGTCTAGATTCCCAAACCTGTGTGTAATCATCTACTACTAAGAGTCTGGCATTGATTTGTGGGTCAAACTCAGAGGGCACTTCCTGTCAAACTGCACAATCATCAGCACAAATACATCTTTCTAGTTTATTTAACATGAGGGAAAAAAAAAGGGCTTGTCTGCATCAAAAACTTTTGTTTTTCCTCTTTCTCAGAATAATACATTGCAGCAACCTTAACTCACTTAAGTGGACATCATTATGTGCAAGAGACTTACCTGAATCTGTTGCAGTCATGTCTTGTTCTAACTTCAATTTTTGCTCGTTGATTTTGAGCATGTATTCTTCAATAGTCCCCTTACTGATTAGCTTTATGACTTTCACCTCTCTGAAAACCACAAAATAGGATGAATCAATTTTTACCGTTTCTTTGGATTAGTGTAAAATGGAAGGGTGCTATGCCTTTGCTCAGCTCAGTTTAAAACAAAGAGGAAATGAACAAAAGGGCAACAGGAAAAGCTGCTGTTTCTTCTGTCTTGACCAACTGTGCTCTGTACTGCCAGGAAACTTGTTTTCTCCTGCACTCCAGCCACCACAAAGTCTGGGCTGTCACCGAAATTCCCATTAAACAGAAACAACTTAACTTACCCCCCATGCCACACTACACAAATACCAGTTATTAAATGGGTTCTATTTCTCGCATCAGCTTATTCTGACAGAGGACTCTGAAACAGTCCATGTTTTCACTCTTCAGAGCTTAGAAGTCTCCCAAAGAGAACAAACAGCTCTGCCAAACAGTCCCAAAGACCTCAAATCCGCCTTGAAACCTAGCACCACAAATTTGAGGATTATAGAGAATTTCTGAGTTAGAGAACTCAGGGAAAAAAAAAAAAAAAAAGAGGAGAATGTAAATCATGTTTGTTCTGGCCACAAGAGGCGCTAAGACACTTACAACTACCTAGCTCCCACACAATGCAAAGCTGGTTTACACAAATCTCTGCTTAAAACTGCATTTTTAAATTCAGTAAATTCATAAAATATTGTTCTTTCAGCTTCCTTTGAGAACTTGCCTCCAAGAAAAGACAAGCATTACAATTAAAAAGTCTTACCTTGTCTGTCCTACTCTATGGCATCGGTCTTCTGCTTGCTTGTCATTGTATGGGTTGCAATCAATGTCATGAAGAATAACAACATTTGCCGAGGTCAGATTAATTCCCAATCCACCAGCTTTGGTTGACAGGAGGAATATAAATATATCCTTATCGTTATTGAACTCATCTATTAGATGTATCCTGCAGAACACAAGAAAACATACATGAGGCTGGAGAAACCACTGCACTGGCTCCACAGTTGAATACAGTAGTTAGGATGATGATCTTCTGAAAGGGAGGACAGTGGCATTGCAAAGCAGCCCAAAAATAAAGGTGTTATGCAGAAGGAAAAAGGGTACCAACGGTCCTCAGCAGTGACCAGAGAAACATGCTGAGACTGATATATTGATAGCAAAGGATGAAAAGAGGCTTGGAAAAAGATTCTGAGTAATCACAGAACACAAAGAGCAAGTTGGAGGGTGAGGGAAGTTTGAAATACATGAAGGAAATGGTGAGGAGGGAGGAATTTAGCTTCCTGACTGTCTTCTGTACTAATTGCACATACAGGAGAAGTAACAGACATCAGCTGTAAGTGAGAAGTAATATCACAGCAAGAATGACAAGGGTTTTTTGAAATGAAGGAAAGAGAATCTAAAAAAACATTTAAAAAAAAATCAGGAAACAACAGAAAACCAGCACACCTCAACCAAAAGCATTGCAGTATTTTTAGCTGCAAAGGACAGAGTAAACAGTTTGTCCAAGAGGAACAAAGGGCTTTGTATGCCTATTGTAAAAGATATTCGCTATACTGCCAAAGAATATCTACAGGTGAGCTTTTGTTATGACATGCTGTCACAGAAGCAAATCATACACACCATGAACTGCTGAAGACATAAGTTTTGAATTTTGATGGCTAAGACTGTAACCCAGCCATCTAAAACTCACCTTTCTGCCTCACCCTTACTAAGGCGATCAGAAATCCAGCGTAATCCTTCAGTTGTATATAACCCCTTCTATAGTTAATGCCCAGCGACCACAAAATTCTACACATTGCAAAACCAAGGCAAGGGTTTTAAGTCACCCTCACATTCTCCCCATCTCCATTCACACATCCTCTTTTTTCCCCTCCCATCTTCAGCACAAGAAGTCACATACCGGTCAGAAATCTGTGTTTTTCCATCCAATCTAATGTATCTGTGTTCCTTTTGTTTTAGGAAAACTTCCAGAATATCCAGTATCATAGTAAATTGGCTAAACAATACAACTCTGTCTCCCTGGAAATGACAAAGCGAAACAGAAGTTTTAAAACATATCAATTACAGATAATGAACTACACAAATACTCTATTAGTGCAAATACGTATGCATAGTTGATCTTACTTTGAATCCCTATTTTCTGAACTAAAAGACTACGCTGAAATGCATCAAGTCAGGACTAACTTTAAGTGAAGGTATCATATCCAGTACTGCTGCTGCATTAACCCCCCTTCTGTCAGTGCAATTTGTTTTCTAGATACTTTGTACTCAGGTGACTCAAGCAACCTAGAAATCACATGTCAAATGCATAAATGACAGATCTACTCCATCTATAAACATCAACAAAATATTTTCACTAAAAACTTAAGCTACATTCCATATAATACTGACTAGCAGCACTCTTTTGTCTGAAATAATCAAACAGATGCAGAGCACACACTTGTGCAAATTCAGGATACTCTGAAATACTACGGTACATGCTTATTTGTAACATAAGCCAGTCTGAATCTGTGAGTCAAAGCAGTGACCTCATCTTTACACTTGCTTAACACATACATGATTATTCTTCTGTAATACAGACTTACCCAAATGCCAAATGAAGGTCAAAGTTCATGAGCTGTACACTAAGATAGCAGTGTTACCTTGGGATGACTATTCTGAAACTTGGAAAAATGGGAAAGCTTATTTCAGCTGTCTCTAAAGGGATGTGTGTAGGCAGGACTGCACATTAAAAGCTGTAAGTATTGCTTTGCAATGCTGCATATGCACTAAAACACACTGTAATACTCCACAAAAAATCAACTGGGTTGCGTATGCAGCCAGCAGATATTAATTTGACCAGTTATTTACAGCCACCCTTCACATGGACAGGAAAAGATGTTTCAGCCATCTTCAGTACCAACCTTCTCTTTAAGGTCAGAAAGAATGCGGTCCAGTGCGTTAAACTTTCCAGAATCCAAGATCGTATCCATGTCTAACTTGAAGCCATTGACGTGAGAGTATTGCTCACAAAGCAAATGCAGTTCGAAATCCGTCATTACCGTCATATCTTCGAAGATAAGGTCGGGGTTAGCATCGCGATGCGTGGGTTCCTGTTAGCAGAAAGGAAACAAAATAATGTAATACACAATCTTGCAAACAGATGACAAAACCCAAGAACACCACACAACAACATCCAGAATTTCTGAAAAAACAAAAAACAACTAGACATGGACAAAGGCCGAAGCGTGGCTCATGCAAGCAACAAAAGATGAACTCTGCAACTCCAGGTTTATAGTAGAGGACCATTATTTTGCAATTCAGTGTTTATAAGAACTTGCACTACCAAAAACTAAGATGTATGTATAACCTCCATAGCAATTACCTAGTTCCCATCAAGCCCTATGACCTTTTTACCCCTGTATCAGACCTCTTCCCCTGATGACACAAGCCCTAAAAGGGAGGTTGAATCCTTGGATAGATGGTAGAAGACATGGGAAGCCCAGCCCAAGATGTAGGGTGGGTAGAGGGATGTCATGCCTGGAAGAAAGAGGAGAAGAAAAGCCATATCTGGAGGGTACAATGGTATGAGCAGGAGTAAAAACGGACAAAAATCCTTCACAAACCAATGGATCGCTTCTTCCCTTCCCCCCAGCGTTGACTGGCTTTATCTAAAAACAAAGCTGAAGACCTTCAAAGCCAGCTGCACTCTTCTTAGAGCCCTTGTTGCACATTCCAATTTTATTCTTTTTTATACTTTAGAAAGAAGCAACATTTATCCCCAAACTCCACACGCATTAACCCCAGCCAAATTAAAACAAAACAAACAAAAAAGTCCTCAACCATTCAATACTCATGCCTTCCCTATTTTAGTTCTGTACAGTCTGGATTTCTTGCTACCCAGAAAATAGTAAACTCAAATGCCCACCCAAGTTAAGTACTTTGGTTTTAAATTTTGGGATGAAAGGAAGAGGTGTTAAGGAGGAGCTGATGAAAAGGAGAGGACTGCAGTCCCACAGCTGTTCTCTCCATTTTAATATCTGATACAAAAGTCAGTGTTAAACACATACAGAGCTTGATTAGAGTATTGGATAGATGCAAATAAAAACAGCAATAATGAATTGAGTTTTGCAAAGACACAGTTTTGACCAGAGGACTGACAATAAATAAATAAATAAACAAACAAACAAATACATAAAACCCAAATCTATTTAAGTTGCATTAAAAATTCTGAGAAATTAAAGACTGCTTTGGAATGTCACCTTGAGCATAAGTTTGGACATCTTCCTGAGCTTGTCATTTGTGTAATACTGGCGATGCAAGAGAGGGTGATTAGCCATTTTCCTAAGTTGCATCATCACATTTCCCATATCCGAGTTTTTCTCTATAAAAAAAGAAGTAAGGCATATTCAGAAGAGGTACACAGATTCCTCTCTGACACATCTCTGTCTCTCAGAACTTTATTTGTAATAGCTGAAATTGACATTTCACCTATAACTTGAACTTAGGAAAAATCCACAGAAGGGATATAGTCAGTTTACGAGTCTTAAGACATTTCTACAAAGCAAGGGCGTTGTAGTCACATTTGACATTCCAGACATGAAAAAAGTCCACCAAAAGGAAACAAGACTGTCACATACCATTACTCTTAATATTTTTCTTGAGCTTTTTTAGGAGATCACAGTATAGTTGTTCCTGTTTCTGGGACATGGCACACAATTCAGTGAAATCTTTTTTAGGAGGTAGTTGTTTAAGGACCTGACGAAATAAAAGCATACCACGTTAAAAAAACACCCCAGTAATTCTGTACTGTCTTACAAGCCTGTTTTTAAGCTACTCTGTTCATTCACCCCATCCCAACTCCTTTCGTTGGCTGCAACTTCACTGAGTCAGCAGTTTGACATACTTAGAACTTGATTTGGATTATACATCACACCCACCACCCAACAAGTAACATGACCAGCACACTCTAAAACTGCATGAAATAATAATACATGCAATACCTGGAACCTACCCTCTGCTAATCAGAGATACGCTCTTCAAACCACTGACTACTGAAGCATGCAAATACATAAAAACACTTTTCAGGTCGCAGTTAAGTTTTCCCTTTCTTTTATATATGCAATTTTAAACAGAGAAATTCAAAAGGTTTTGGATTTTGACCTTTAATTTTACTATTAGTCTCAAAGATTTTTGGTAACATGAAACCATTATTTAAAGATAAAACATTACCTCATCTTTTACTCTTCTCAAGATGAATGGTTTTATTATCTGCTTTGCATGTGCAATCCTCTCTTTTTCATATACACTTTGCTCTTCAGCACTCTTCTAAGGAAAACATTGCAAGAATTTAATTAGAATATGAAGTTTTCAGCTCTAACAACACTACCTTAACTATTCTAACTCGAAGAAAAACCCAGCCAGAACAGACAGATCTAACAGAACCATTAGCATTCTGAGATACCCTGTTATATAACACATTCTTACTTTATATGGTTCATTTCATTGCTTCATTTTCTAGATTTTCATCATCACATTACCCATTTCCATAAGATACCGGTAAAACACAAGTTATGCAGCAACAGCAGTTATTTTCCGTAAGATACCGGTAAAACAAAAGTTATGCAGCAAACCAAGTTATTTTCAAGGAAAGAATATGTACTACTTACTGTTTTTGAAGAGAACATCCTTCGGATTTCAGCTGTGCTACTGCTGAACATATGTGGCATGACAAAATTCAAGAGGGACATCAATTCCAGCAGGTTATTCTGAACTGGAGTCCCAGTCAGCAGTAAGCGATGCTGTGCCTGTTTGTCCAAAGTGGAAAACAGCAGTGAGAAACATTAGTCAAACAGCTTAAAAATTAACATTGGCAGAAACAACACAGCTATGAGCTGATAAAATGAGAAGTGATAAAATGAGCTTGGTTTAAATTATAGCTGTTTAAACTCAATATATATTTAAGTCTAATGGAAAAATTTCTTGGTTAAAACAAAAATGCTGCTTACAGATCTGTGGGGAACTGAGTGCATACCAGTTTCAGACTACTCAAGAGCCTAATCCAGATTGAAGAAAAGCCTTCCTGGGTCTATTAGGGTTTTTCTCATTTGGTTTGTTTGTTGGGTTGTTTTAAGTAACTTGCTAATTGTTGCTCCTATATCATATAGCTTCTAATGTCATACATTATTTATGCACTAGTTTCGAATTGCAAGTACAAGCCATAGTTCAACTGCTTACAGATCAGCTTCTTAGAAAGGCTTTTAATGAAAATATGATCTTGAAAAATAAGTTGTAAGTAGGTAATCATATGTATATTATTATTGTACAAATACAAATATTGCTAATTCACAGTAATTGCAGAAAGAGCTATACTCAAGTTTTCTCTTTTTCAGAATGCTGCTGACTCAGGCCACAAGCTACAAGAAAGTTATTTTAAAGCTAGCTTTTCTTGCACAGTCCTATCAGAGCAGGTCCTTAAATACCACAGTGTTTCAGCACAAGTCATCAGAATAGCATTTTAACCATCTTTCCTACTGTGAGATGGAATTGGAAAATCCCTTAATACTGAAACTGAACCATCACTGTAATAATGCTACAGGGAATTTATTACATTTCTTCGGGAGCCTGTCTCCCTGAAAGAGTTCACAACATAGAATCCACTCTTGAGACCACACCAACACTTACATCCACTTGCATACTGAAGTGTCTGGAACATTATGTGTATATGAACTTTACAGTTAATACTCATTTTGCCCCAGCCTGTAACTACAAAACAAAAAAAAACAGGAGTTGTTCCCTCTAACCCAAGAATAATTAAACCTCTTACATTAATTGTCATAAGGTGCTGGTAGCGTACAGAGCTCATGTTCTTGAGCATATGACCTTCATCAAAAATTGCATAGTTAAGTTTCAATTTGCGAAACAGTCCTCGATCATCTGAGCTGCTAATTGCACAGTTGTATCTGTCAAAGAAAGACATCAAAAAAGATACATTAAATATTAATTTAATATGGACATACTGTTACGACAATCAAATCAGGAACTCTAAAATTGTGAAGAGTTATGAAGAGAATACATGAAGGGCAATAAGTAAAACTGCCTAGAAGTAACCAACCAGAACACAGTTTACTACTGGCAAATTTACTCTATAAGCCAGTACTCAGTAACACTCTCCCTCAAACTGTGCAAATCTATGACACAGTAATACGTTATCTACTATATGTCTTAAGAGATAGTATCTAAAGCCTATGCTACATAGTATCTGTCACTCATTAATAAAATCCTAGTTAACTGAAAACAAAAAGAAGTTCCTTTCCCATCTCACCAAACTTCTAACATTGCCTGCTATATTGCACCACTAGAGGTCAGTAGAAGCTAACTAAATCTCACTGTTTAATTGCTGTACTTACGTAGTTACAATCACATTGAAATCGACCATTTTATGAATTATGTCCACTCTGAGACGTTTCCTATCTTCTTGGGATCCTATAAAATAACAAAGTATAAGAAGGGTACAATTACATATATTTATATACATATAAAATGCAGAAACACATTCAGCAATAAGTACGTGTATTTCAAGAACTGCCTTAAAACAATGCTTCCATGAGCAATTCATCTTTACTTAGGGTGACCATGAAAGCAACTGTACCATTGGATTAATTTCTAAATTGGATTCCTCACCATAGTACAAAAGGACTTTCAGATCAGGACACCACAGACGAACTTCTCTTATCCAGTTATCTGTAAAACACCATTAAAATAAACAGAAAACAAATAATTTATATATTAATGACTTATATAACTTCAGACCCACCTAGCATTAAATCAAACATCATATTTTAAAGCAAATCCCTTTAAATTCTACTCAAGGTTAAGAAACTTTCTGTCTCAATGCTGGAAAAACTGGTAACATTTAGGAAAATTAAACAACCCACAACTGGGATTTAAGTAACTCCTGCTTAATCAGCTTGTACTTTAAACTCCTACAGAAACAGACTCTGCATGGTCCGCAAACACCATGTAAAAATAACACAACACTTAACTTTTCAACCTGCTTTCTTCCCTAGACAGTTAATTGCTCAGAAGGCAAATCACTGCACTTGTTGGTACTCACACCCGGAAGAGTTCCATCAGGAGAAACAGTGCCTCCAGGAATAGGCAAGGAAGCTTGACAGCCCGACCCAGCTCCAGGTGTGCAGGCAGTGGAGCAGCCACCCGTGATGTTGCCTTGCCTAAGGGGAAGCTGCTTAACAGCCAACACAAGTGCTGACCCAAAAACACATCAGAAGGGAGTCTCTGCTAAATGCCACTTGGCCCGGGCCAGACCCAGACTGGGACTGAGGAGACACCTCCAGGGATGTGTCAGGAAAGCTCAAGTAGACTGCACTTTCCAGGCATCCCCATGATGGATGGCTTAAGCCTACCTGCCACTACGATTCATGAGCCTCTAGGATTCACTTCAGAAAAGTAACTTCGTTTACACATTTATGTACACCTCAGGTTTTAAGTAACATGCATTCTTAAAGAGTCATTTTAAAAAATGGGTTCTAGTGGATTTTAAAAGCATACTGAAAATGGCAATTTCAAACCGACGCTGAAACAATGAAGGTTTTCTATGTGTTAAAAGGAGTTTCTGAAGCCCAAATAAGCATTTTCTATTAAAAGCAGCATTTTCAGTCTAAATTAATCTCGCTACTTTCTCCTTTCTATAATCACTCAACAAAACCAAATTTAACTCTCCAGAGAACTAGTTTCTCCAAACTCCTCAGCTTTGCTGACATATTTTATTCTACCATATTCTTTCTGCTTTTGACTTAGGTCACTGAACAATCAAAACACTTAACTAAAAGATAGTCAGCCTCATCATTTTAGGATTTTGATCTGCTTTGACACATTCTGAGGAAAAAAAGACACTGAATGTTTCAAATGCCATGAAACCTAATCCTAAGCACAGCCTGAAGACTAGGAATTTCAGCCAACATTTAGTAAGTATAAAGACTATTTTGCTAAAAGAGACAAATTGTAACAAGCAGGTTTACTTTTTTGTGAAGCATACATGCCATACTGGAAAAAATTCCATGTTAGGCCTAATTAATTCAGAACAAGCATGTCTTCGGTATGGTTTGCATTCCAGTTCAAGTTCCTTAAGGAGCTGAGTAACACCATAAGAAAATCAAGTTTTCCTTCACAAAATTATCTCTGTTTCAGTGTCTGTCCACGTTTTTTTATTTTTTAAACAAACAAGTAATTTTGAAGCTTGTAACTTACCTAATGTTGAAGCCGGCACAACAATCAAATGCGGACCTGTATTGCCCTTTTGGTAAAGATAAGCTAGAAATGCAATAGCTTGAATTGTCTTTCCTAAGCCCTAAGAGAAAACAAATCCATTTAAACATAACTTACAATCTGCAGAACATAATAGTGTTTCGTACTCAGAAGGCAATTACAGTGCAGTCAATGTTAACTAGAGATTACAAATCTGCACAGAAAAATCGTTAACCACATGGTTTTATGAAAGACAATTCCTTCCTAAGTACAACTACAGTCAAACTCAATTATCTTTTCACCTCAACATTTGAGCATTGGAGATTCATTGTTTCCATTTATGAAGTTTTTTATTTTATTCAAGTTTATACCTCAAATCTTCTTGAAAAATTTACCTTCCTGAAACAGTGCTGCAGACAAATGATTACTTGGAAACTAACTGGTTCTTTCTATTTGAGCCAGTTGTACAAAGGATATTCCAGCTATTTCTGAAGTGGAATTTAATATGGAAATCAGATTTAAGATAAGCTTATGTTTCTGGCAATACTCACTTTCCTGTCTTCCATATCATGATTTAAAAATTTATCTACCACAAAATACGTACATAAGGTAGTTCTTACAAATATGCAATATATGGAAGTTGAGAAACACTGCCTACGTCTTCGTGAAGCAAACCCATCCATTCACTCGTGGTTGCTCACAAGATGAACAGAAGCCAGGATTAAAAGCAACTGACAACACAATTAGCAGCTGCATTACCAAGTTCGTTCTGCTGTACAATTACTGGTGGCATTGGCACCAAACAAAACCTCAAACCCCTAATCTTTTCTCTTTTATTTCAAAACTTACAGGTAGTATAATGACAAGAGAGTGTTGAAATGCTGGAGAAGTAGAAAACATTTCTACCCAGTTAGTTTTTTCTGTATTGTTAACTACCTGTTTTCAAACTGATAGAGAAGTGTAGAAATTAGGGGGTCACTACAACTAAATGCTGGAGAAGTAGAGTGAATTATATTTATGGGCAAGGAAGTATTAAAATGAGTGGATCTGAGGATAACCTGTTGTGGTAGAAACTACTTCCACCGCATCAGAAGACACTATGCATCTTGTACTTGCCAGTGTCAAGGCTACCTTTGACCTTCAAATTGAAAGTAAGAGCTCAGTAGCTTCTAAACATTTGGAGAAACTGTTTGCAATTTAAGTTATATTAGCTAAAACAAGTTATTTAGAATCCATTTGGGGTTTCTAGGAAATGAAAGAATCCAAAGTAATTTTTGCAAAGTTTTCAACAATTCTTGAATAAGGTTTACACTTACCATTTCATCAGCCAATATGCCATTCAATCCATGTTTATCCAACAGTGCTAGCCAGTTCAAACCGATCTTCTGATACGGCTTGAGAACAAAACTGTTAAAAAGATGGGGACGTGTTAAGCTTGATTTCTTAATTGTTTCTCCATGAAACACAACTTTACGCGTAAGTTAATCACAGAATAGTAAGTTTAACACTTGCCATATTTTAATTCCCTCCAGATCTCCTCAGGTAGTGAAAACCACATACTTTATTTAATCAGTCACCTGACTACCGAAGAGATTCTCTGAACCTTGTTAAGTATTTTCTCTGAATTTTCAACATCTTAAATGATCAAAATTAATGTTAATACACACCTTTCTTCTAAAATCAGTGATCCATGACCAGTTAAATTCAGTTACACAACCGGCAATTTTTAAAATCCACAAAAAAATTAAGCAGCATTTAGCAGCTGCATCACTAAGTTTGCTCTGTTGTACAACTGCTAGTGGTGTTGGCATCAAACACATACAATCTACAAAACGTACCCACCTGGTTCAGCATTTTTTGCCAATGATGCAGCATCACTAATAAGCTCCTTCCAAACAGTTTCTTCTTCATCTCAGGTTTTATTCTGACACAGCTGAAAATCCTTTTGCTATTTACTACTAACAACCTCCAAGCCTAATCCAGGTTGCTACTCCAGCCATTCCCACTTCACCCCTATGCTTCCCAACCCTTAGTATAATGTTCCCCCACCATATCCGTTTCTGTTCCTCCTAAGCTCTTTCTTTATTCCCAATAGTCATTTGGAAAATCTTACAAATTTACCTCTCTAAAATAAAACCTTCTCCATATCACATCCCCGGTGCCTGTCCCACTGGATACAGGGTTCCAGGTAATTTTGTACATCTGAACTTCCTGACCAAGATCTTAAGTCCAGCTGATAAACTTTTCAAGTTTGCTCAGATAAATCCTGATTTAGCATCTTTGAAATATAAGGTCCCCCATTACAAAAGCAATTTTGTTTGGTCTTTGATTTGAAGTAAGTTGACAACTCATGATCCCATCACTCAAAGTTGGCTTCTACATTCATGGAAAAACTGGAACTAAAACAAGGCATTGAGCACTGTTCTAAAACCTCACGAGCTTTCCTGATATGCTTGAAAGCGTCTGTTGGATTCCCCCAAGTCTTGAACATCACTGTCTACCTCACTGAGAGCTGGCTAAGTGTCAAACATTTGCAACTCCACCTTCAGACACCGCAGCTTTGAAAATCTCAGTCTTCACAAGTATACCTTACTGTCTGACACCCTTTTAAGAATAAAAAAGGGAAAGATACCTCTTATTCAGAATGGAAGGTTGTGCAATGTTCCATCCGCATGCTCCATCTACAGTAAGCCTGGTTACTTGTTTTGTCAGTTTCCTTGAAATGTCTTCACATTTATTCATGAGCTTTAGAACCACGTCCCTCTCCTTCAGCAGTGTCTTGCAGTTCCACACTATGTCTTCAGTCAAACCAGCAGTCTTAGTCATTTTTGCAAGCTGCAAAATAATGAAGGGAAAAAAAATAAATACTGTGAACACTGATAATAGCAACAAAGGTGCTACGGTGAAAATCCACAGCTACTGCAGGCAGCAAGGAATTCAAGACAGCAATGGCACCCCAATCTCCTCTCAAAACTTCAAATATTCCTTACACATGTTCCCACCTTGACCAAGGCTAACTTCCTCTGTTGCTCTGTACTCTCAGTCTGCCAAGAGCAGAGGTGGCTCACTCATGCTTTCTATACTATGCATCTAATCTAGCATCAATTTTTATTTTTCTTTAAAATAGTATCTCCAAGTCACAATCCTTCCTGCACCAATCATCAACACCAGCTTTCTCCACGAGCTCCTGATTTCTTTGTTGTTGTGAGAATTGCTACTTACAAGTCTCACTCTCACAACCTTGTGCCAACCACAGACCTACCATGTGACAGTGTCTTTAATTAAACTTAAATGTACCTTCTTTTTTTCCCTTTTCAATTATAAAGCCTTATTAATTTTAACACAGAATCCTTACTTCTACCACTTGTTTCCTCAAGGCCACACTACTTCGTGTTTCCTTCCCCTAAACTTCATTATCTTCACTACAATATGGATATTCTCTGGTTTTAGAGCCAGGCACTCTGTCGTTGTGTCAAAACTGACCCTTCAGGCCCGCCAGCTTCTCCTTGATTCCATGTAGGGCTGTCTGCAGAAAGTGTAAAACTTTCTAATAAATTTATTTCTGCAGTAATTGCGGTCATATCTGTAATTATAGTATTTTCATGCATATTTATGCATGAAGTTATTTTATTGTAAAGAACAGACATCTCCTTTATTTATGGATTTAAAGAACTGAAGAATAGACGGTCCTTTGGATTTGCCATTCTTTTGTTAAAACAGAAGTAATTTCCACACAGATTTTTCTGAAATTTTTACCAGGGATGTGTCAAATTTTAGCACAAACTTCACAGGCGCATATCCCCCTAGAATTCCTTCCTTTAAAAACCTATTACCTAGCTAGTAACTGATCAATTTTGCCACATTGCAGAGTAAAAGCAGAGAGAGAGAAAAAAAAATAAATTAACGAAATGGTGCCCTCTACTGAGAGCCTGCTAGCACAGTTTTGGGGTTTTCTTTATTTGTGGTTTTGTTCCATTTTAAAGAAAACCCAGAAAGTTTACCAACACTCATAGATTAAACGAGGCCAAGGTACACATGTCAACACTCACAGTGAAGTTTTCTAAATAAACACCTCTATTTAGATATGAGAGCCATAAGGAATGTGATTTTTAATAGGTTATTAAAAATTTCGACATCTGTTTTGATGCCTAAAGCTTTAGTTGGCATGAATATAAATCATGTAACCTTTAAATGAAGGTGTGGAGAATGAAGCCATCTGTTACAAACAGAAATTGTATTGTTTCGCATCAGCGCAATTACATTAGTCTCAAATTTAAAACAAGAAAAACTTCAGCCACTGGTTTGGATGCGGAACACACAATGTTGCCCTGTCATGCAGAACACAGAGCAGTGAGACCACCACAGACAACTGAACCCATGGGCTTCCACGGCATGTGCTGTGGAAGGTCCACTGGAGCTCAGGGCAGCAGCAGTGCTCCTCAGTGCGTAACCAACATGCCAGCATGTCCTGCCCAGGCTTGCTTTACACCACTTGAAAGGGATATGGGATTCCACTTTACTCCTTAGGGATGAAAATCAGCCTCAACCTCGGTCTACAAACTCCAGCTCCACTTTAAGCAGCCCCCATTTCTAATCTGATGCATTTGCTGCTTTCCTTTGCAAGTTTGCTCTGGTGAAAGGTGCTTCTGGATTTCCTGCTAGTTTGTTTTTTGCAGCAGTGTGTACATTTGCAGCCAAACAAAATGAGACAAAAAAGCCAAAGCTACCTTCCCTTGAGTTTCTACCTCCTCACTCATACGCTACTGCAGTATACAGAATAAGATGGACAAGTCCAACCTAAAAAGGTTGTCTACAATAAAAAACCCATTTTAATTTATGTATTCCTGGAATAAGATGACCAATTTCCATACAAGTAGGCTTTAGTCTTTAGCTTGTGCTGAGAGATCTTTCTCAATTCTAATAATGAGCAAGTGGTAACAACTTCCAGCGCTTTACATTATATTATAAAATATACCATTACAGTAAAAAGAAACCTTAAAAACAAGCCAATTTCTTTAATGCTGAATCGGTTCTCTCCATTTTTCTACCACTCTTTTTAATTAGTAGAAAAACACTGGGTCACTGAGCTACTGGATCTTTACAAACAATTAAATCCACACTGATACAAAACATCTGCTAAAATCTGCTGCAAACTGCCTCTACTCTGGGCAAGTATTCACAGTACTATATAAACATGTGGTTGCTGACAGCAGGATTTTTTTTTAGGAATCTTTATGAAGGGCAAATTTTGAATGCAAACAGGCCCATGCAGCTTTTTTTCTATTAAATATTTTACACAGAAAAGGAGAACAGCCCTGTAGCAAATACTTCTGCAAAGAATTAAGCTCAGACAAAATCCAACAAGTTTAGAAAGTAATAGCCATATGACAGATGTTCCGGGAGAAGCCAAAGGCTTGGGGCAAAACAGATTTCTTTAGCAGCATACCTGCACCTTGGATTTTTTCCCAACTATCCTCCTCTTGTCTCTGTGCCTTGCAACACAACATACAAAGATCATTTTGTTTTCCTTAGAATCTGTCTAGTATCTTTTACTATTTTGTGGTAAAACATTTCACACACCGAATAGTAAGTGTTATTGTTTTACACATACTGAAGAAGTTCTATTCTGCTCTGAAAAAACACAAGCAGATCTTGCATACAGCAGTAAGGGGAGGTTTCGGAATACATACTGATAATAAAACATACCAATTACTCTGCAAGACGGCCTATGCACAGTTACCGCTTTAAAATCCAAAGCGCTAATAAACTAAACCAAGAAAATCTGCCATAATGCATGTCAAAAGTTTTTACCAGCATTGCTCTTACCGGGTCTGATGTCTTGCACTTTATCGGAGTTTCATAAAATGTAAAGGCAACAAACCATGAGAAACATTTGAAAGTAACATCCATGTGACAGCAGATAATCTACTTACCAGGAGGTATCGTTTTCCCTCTGTTGTGGATTAGCCTTCTGATACTTTACCTTGTATTAATAAAATCACAGCAGTTTGCTCCACTAAAAATGGCTGCATTGCTCAGCTAGCAAAACCATGCTGGAGACTAAGCTGCAGTAGATTAAAGAAAAAAAAAACAAACACCCCCCCACCCCCAAAAATGACTGTTTCTTCTATGCAACTGAAAATATCCATGCTGGCACCTTCAATCATGGAGCTACCCCGGAAGCTGCTGCTGTTGCTGTTCAAGTGTCTGCAGCAAAGGTCCTGCCACGTTCTTGTCTCCTGCATGGGTTTTCAGCTGTAAGAGCTCAGGAGAGGCTAGCAAACACCTCCTTTCCAAGTGAAAGCTCTAATTTCTTCTTCTGCAGTGAAATCAACCAACTTTCTATGCTACAGAGTGAGTGACAGTAAAGTCAGCCAATCAGCTTGAGTTTTCCAGAAAAATCACCCCTTAATTCATTCAAAATCAGGTCATATGACACTATTAGAAACGCTATTGGCTTAGGAGGAACATAGCATTTTAGCCTAATCAGGATAAGGCCACCCATCTAAGCCTCCCTAGGCTGAAGCCACCTTGACTCTAGGCAGGCTGGGGATAGAAAAAGAAGAATGCAGACCTACCAGAGCCTCCCAGCTATTAAAGGGCCGGAGTGCTATTATCTTCTGAGCTGTTTTCTGAGAACACTGGGGAATCAAAATCAGTTCGCTTGTGGAAGCATCCTGCAGGAAGCTAAGGATTTTCGCTTTGTAGCCATCCTCCACCACTTCGTTGCCGCTGCTGTAGTCCTCGTCAAAGACACTACCGTCATCTTCAGAAGCTGACTTGTCCTCTGAGTCTGTTTCTCTTTTAGTATTCCAAATGTTCATTTGGCGTTTGCTCTTTCTCCAAAAGATGCTCTCCTTTCTTCTGGGAGATTGCTTCTTCAGCTTCTCTTTACTCTTACCACTTCTGCTCTTGTCGGAGGTTTTGGTCCAGTCAGAATTGTCACAGTGGGGAGCAAATTCTATGTCTATGCATGTAATATAGAAGGCAACAAGTCAATGCATACTGGTTAAGAGCAAATTAAAACATACTGTTCTTCGAAAATAAAACCTATATAAATATAAAACAAAGTTCTAGGATTTAATACACCACAAGTCAACAGCAGGTATTACGAAGAGTAGCTAACACCATGGAAGTCTGTCTAAAACATGTAACTAATACCAACTGTGAGTATAAGATGAGCAATGCTAACTTGTATACTGCTCAAATAGCAGAAGGTAGCTATCTTAAAATACAGGCAATCAATACAATGTAGTATGTGTGAACTGCAGCAGCTCTGAGGTAACAGCAGCTAGAACTCTGATGTATCACTGGGATGAGATACTGGTCCCACTCCACCCAACTGCAGAGAGATTAATTCTGCTGATTTCAGAAAACAAGCCTACTTTCAACACAAATATTAGGTATTTTTTTCATTTTATTACATCTCAGTACAGCATTCTTCTTTGGAAGAAAGCACTTGTAATGTTTCTCTTCTGCCCAATCTCAGCTCACTGCTGATTGACTCCAACCCCGATGTCTACCTTCTTAGAAGTAGCAGCAAGGACCCAACCTCACGCAAACTGATAACTCCACTTGTAAAGAATTCAATCCTATCCCAAGAATACCCAAGTAGCTGATACAGCAAAACATACACATTTCTGACAGCCATTTAACACTGAAAAGTAATCAACTCATTAAATATTATTTAAGTTGTAACTCAACAGATTGACCCAGAATCACAGTGCTTGCTCCCTACCACATTTAATGCACTGGTATTTGTAAATTGGTTGCATAATTTAGGGCCTATTTCTAGTATTTTTCTCTCCTATAATGTATTTTAGAAGGATAAAATAGCATATGTCACTTGTCACCTATGCATTTATCAGCAATCACCGATTTACAAATTACTGCCGTTAAAAACAGCACTTAATTTTAAATAAGCAGGAGGGGAGCAGATGTCAGCTTTGAGACATTTGAAAACATATTTTATGATATACCCATAGGTAATTAGAACTTCGTACACAAATCTGTATTAGCAAGGCAAAGATATTTATCTCTGCTTAAAGAGCAAAAGATAAAATAATCATGATGCTTAAAACTCTTATCTTCCTCATAATACTAATTTTAAGTATCAGTGCAAGTTTCTAGGCATACGGCTGTCAGGACTGTCATTGGTGGACATTAGAAATTATTTGTATCACAAGTCTTCTTGTTTCATCCTGAGATAAAATGGATTATCAATCTGTCTTTACCCTCATCTTCTGCAAATAATCTCAGTGTCTCCAGTGCTTCATGAAATACCCAATCATGTTCCTGAAGTACATCTCTCAGTTCCTAGTAAAAGAAAATTTGTATTGTGACAAGATAAGCAAAAACTAATTTTCTGTGCATAACGTTAAGGCACTAACAATTTTAACTGCATAAGGCAAAAAAAACCCCTTATAAATCAGATTATTCAAAATAAAAGGAAATCAAAAGGAGAAAACAAGTCAGTTTATGCTTATACACTCAGTTCAGGCAGAGCTGCACTCCACTTTTCAAAAGGGTTAGAACACACATAAGTAAGCTTTGCTTCCAAAAAAAAGCATGGTATTAAAATGCCCTGACCAGTAACTGAGTATCATCAGGTACTAAACTAGTACAAAGCACACAGTCTATCTGGTTGTTAAAGGGAGAATGTGAGACAGAGGGATAATTTCCTCATGCATTTTTAAAATAGGTCATTAAATTTGACTATGCCAGGCTTGTCACAGGACCAAAAGTAGGATGAGAAGTTCCATATTCTGGTTACATCCAACTGCTCTCAGAAACAACATGCCATAAGCAGCAGCAGTGAAGACCTTCCTACTCTGAGTTCTTTCCAAGAGTACTGCTGGTGTAAGGCCTGTTTAGTTTGGATCATCAACAGCTGCAATTTTCTCAAGAAGTCAAAATCTGATACGCCATCACGAGAGATGAGCTCACCTCCTTATCCAATGCAGGGAACGTATTTTGCAGCTTCTTCACCAGCATCTCTTGCCTTTCCCATTGTCTTTGGGGATCTGCCTCATCCAGCTACATTTAAAAAAGAAATCTAGTAGGTTTAATGTAAACTATGAGCCTAGAAACAAGCAAAAAAAAAAAACAAAACCCAAACCAAAAACCACCAAACCCCCACAATTAAAACCAATCAAACGTAATCAACACTGTTTATCCTTAAAGAGACATTCTGAATTACAAAAGCACTTAAGACAAATCTGATTTGCAGAAGTGATTCCTTGTCTGTAGCTGATGTAAAACCAAAACTTTCATAAGCATAGGAAGTGTCTTCAGTCTTGAAAGACTGGCATTCTTTACTTGATAAACATACACAGTGCGAAGGTACATACCAAAATATAAATAATTTAGAACTAGCTAGTCTGTATTGATTTAAAATACAAAGCAGCGATTCTGGATGTTTAAGGCAGAAGATGGCAGGGTTAAGAGTCACTTAGGTTAGATCACTAAGCATGCAGTATTTAACACACCAGAGTCTACAACTATGTCAAATGGTGTGTTTATATGAACATGTACAGGTAAAAAAAAAATCCACGAATACTACGTCACAGCACCATGGAGTCACATCAAAACCTGGCAAAAGTTTTCATCAACAACAGCTTCGCTAACAGCTACTATAGGCCTGCAAATAGGGAGGTTTTTTTATGAACCAGTGCAAAAAGTGCTACATGCCACAAGCTGCTCTGTTATGTATGCGCCACAAAGAATTACACAAGTTTCTTCACAGAGCTTTGAATGCAAACTGGTTACAGATCTACTTATCTACAGCAGAGATGCCAACAGGCTTGACCAATATTTACTTTGCTGAATGATGCTATTTGCTGAAAGATCACAAACCAGATCACCCAGAAGCACTCCTAGTAACAGAGGACAATGTTCCTTTCCTCAGTGAGCCTGTGGTATCATTAACAGTATAGCTACAGTATGGCACAGTGGCTGGCAAAGTATGCTTTAGTCTTAGGAACAACCTTAGGAACCAGAGGAAAAGCAAAAGTAAGGGGAAAAAAACCCCCAACCTAGCAACCAACCCTGCATGTTTTCTCACTACAATTCTCTTATTACAGACTCTAAAAAAACGTATTTCAGATTTATGTTTTCCCAATCCTTCCCCTTTTAACTGTAATGGAACTGTTAAAGCACAGAAATTAACCTGCATATAACCAGGTCCAGTGAAGTACCGTTTGCTAGGGTGACTGGGTAATAATTCAGTAAAGTCTCCTTTGTAACCACTTCCACAAAAGCAGTAAACAGGCTATTGGGATACATACCCACAAACACTGGAGAACAAAGCAGATAATTCCATTCAGAATTCCCAAGGAGAAGAATGCAGAAAAACTTCATTCAGATGGCAAGATTTGAATTTGATTAGACTTTTTGATGAAACACACTAAGTCCACAATACCACCGTCACTGACCAAGTCAGGTAATTGCACTTATTTTACAATGCACAGAGTGAAAAAACAGTACTTACGTAATCTGTCTTTGTCTTTTTTGTGACTTGGTCAGTACTCTTTTTGCAAGTTGGGGGAGTATCTTTATGTTTCCTTTTATGAGAAGCAGCTTTAAAAAGAGTTGAGGCAGAAAGGAAGAATTAATTACTTTCATTAAGCTCACCCCAGAACAGCAGCATCATTCAAACCAACACTGTAATAGCTACTTATTGACTGCACAAGATGTTTACCAGTCTCCGTAATAGTTTCCTATTATAGTCCACACATACATTGAAACTTCAAGCAAAGCAGTTGCTTGAAAGTACACGTTTATTTACCTCCTAAGTTTTCTTCAGTAGTTTGGCAATTAATCAAGCAATTACCTCTCATATAGTACAACTGAAATAGCTTTGCTTATTTTGTTTTTTTAAATAATTGCCAAGTGTTTTACACATAAGTTGCATAAAGGTCTGTCTGGTTTTATTTGAAGCTGACTGCTTTTGGAAAGTTGGTATTTAATGAAGGTTGAGCCCCAATCACAAGTTGGAATATGTGCTGCCAATCTGGAAGCGCTGATGATTGATTTCTGGCTCAGCTGCACATCGGAGAGGTTACCACCAAACAGTTTTCAACACTAAACCAAATGTATGAAAGAAAACTATGCATATTAAGTCAGTGATAACCAAGTATCAATGATAACTATGATACTTATGAATAGTTCATATGAGCCAGAACGTTCTGAATATCTTTGGTCCCTGCTGATTATCAAGAGATTATCATCTCAGCATTAAGACCTGCCCAGTCAGCTGCATTTTCTGACTCTGCTGTGCATGCACAGCTCACAAACACGTTACCATTATTTCTGCACGTAAGTTTTGCTTGAAGCAGCAACTGTTACCAGTCCAAATTATTGTAAAAATTCTTAGTCCATGATCTAAAATATAAAATGGTACTGCAAATTAAATCTTTTTTAGAAGAGTAAATGCCTGCCGAGCTTTGATGTCTGATACCACTATGTCTGGCCACCCTCCCAGAATGCCAGAGGTGACTAGTGAACAAGCACACACACACACACACACACACACACACACACACAGAGCACACTTCCTTTCCAATCCTGCCTGGACGATCAACATAGAATTAATTAGAAATCAACCTGTGTTCTTCTGAAACCCACCACATCTGTAAGTGACAAAAAATCCCAGCTTTCTGAAAGCATTCACTTTGTAAGGTACATTCAATTATTCCTTCCTGTGTTAAGACAGCATACAAGCTGAGGAGATGAAGAAACTCTATTATGCCTAGATGGGAACAATCCTTGGTATAGAGGCAGAACACACAAAGCCTTCCAGAGGAATCCTTGTTCTCTCCAGAAATTTTATGATTAATGAGCAATGTGAAAAGCAGCTCCAGGGTTTCAAAATTTAGAGAAACATCTGCAATTACTTCAACTGGTATTTGCTGCTACCGCTACAAAAGAAGCCTTATTACTGTGACATTCCTTACATTACAAAACAGTCACTTCTGCCTCTTCAAAAAGCAGTGAACATCAGACAGGTTTAGCTGACCCTTCAGCTCAGAAGCACTCTCACTGATTTCATGGTTTTTAAGATGCATAGAAAACACCATCAGAAACAAATCACAAGCCACAGGTATCAATATAACTTCACTTCTTTCATTTACATACCTATTTTCAGTGTCACATACCTATAAGTCATACCTCTAAGTCATCTGCAATGCTTCTTGTTTTAGCTACATACAATACTGAATTCATGCTATAAATACAAATTTTTGTCATTTTGAAAAGACAGAAAAATTTGAGGATGACTCAGCCACACTTTTTTAGCAAAGCCATGCTTCACAAAACAGTATCTTGTCCCTGATCTCTCTCACAATCAATGCTTCACAACAAGTTAAGCATATCATAAATTGACATAGATAAGCAGATGTTCACGAACGTCTCGATTTTTAAAAATGTGTCCAAAATGATGTGATTTATACCATCACTTTCAGGCATGCTTACTCCTCACTAAGTATTTTATACAACAGCTGTGATTAGTGAGAATTCTGCTGCCAAGATTTTTCTGTGGGCTTGCATTGAAACTATGTGAAATAGCATTCTTAGATCAACACAAAAATGGCCAAAAGGCAGGTCCTACATAGCAGAAATCAAAGTGTTTTGGTTCAAACACTGTGAACTTCAACAAAGGTTATGTATTTGCTTAAATTGCTTTAATATTAATCAAAACCCTTGAAAAGTAATCATAGTTTTCCAGGAAGGGATTTTCCAGGAGCAGCAGCACTCAGAATTAGTGTGTCCCTCAAAAATATGTCAGCTTTAGTTTTCTATTGCCAGCATCCAAGAAGTCCCATCTACAGAATCGGATCACAGTGGTAACCTCAAAATGTTGGTCTGGTTGGGTAAAAAAAGCTTTCTGATAATTGTTTTAAAAAATCTTTGAAGTTGTATATAAAAATCAGAACATGAAAATATGGCAAGTACAATGGGGAACTGCATTAGCAATAGATCTACTACTTCAGAGGAGGATTAAACCTGTTCTCCCTCAGCACATGAGCTTCCTAGACACACTGCTTCAAAATCCACAGGATACTGCATGAAAAGACGCATGAACCACTTAGAAAAACTAAAGTAATCAAAAGTGATCATAAATAGCTTTTCCCATCATCTCCAAAACACGAAGATATCTCAGGAAAACTGTGCAACAACTGAACTGCATTTGGAATCTTCAGCTTTTTATAATGATGTTAATACTCATACCAACCTTCCTCTCTTCCCCCATTGATCGCAGTACATCAGTCAAAAAGATTTATAAACAAGAGATTTAACCCTGGACTTAGGTGATGTCAAGAAACAAACCCAAAGCTCAAGAATTATGACGCTTTTACGTGCTTACCATTTCCTACACACTCCCACATCATGTGTTGGGCTTTTTGGTTTTATTTCTTTTGGGGTTTTTTTGATAACAGCATGAGACTGCATAAATTCAGAGTTGCTAGCCCATTACTATTTGCCTCAACTCCTGGGCAAGGAAGGAACCAGCAGGAACATAATTCACTTCATGACACACATGTAAAGCAATCCTGAGCTTCACAGAACAAATTCCCCTTTTTTGTTCTTACATTGGATTTTGGTCCACATCTTCTTCTCATCTTTCCCCTTGCAAAGCCTGTCATTTCAGTTTTGTGTTATTACAATAAGCAAACAATGTATAACTTTTAGCATATGCTTTACCACTTTTTAAATACCTCCCAACAAAGTTTACTTTATTGAATTAGCTACAGCTCGTAAAGTTTGGTTTTGGTTTTTTTATTGTTGTTAAACATACCTTCATAACTGAATTGCAAACCAGCAGCTTCATTCATTGTATGTGCTGATTCTAATAACTGAAAAAAAAAAAAGAAAGACAACTGCTCAGTGATGAGATTTAATCCAGTTGAACAGAGGACAATGATAGACCAGCATGATTGAAATATACTTTAAAAAAACACCTCAAAAATACATGTATCTCAAAATCCAAAACAAAATTAACATTACCAAGTTAGCTAGACTGATCACATAAGCTGTATTTGGGAACTTTTTTAAAAAAACCTAAAGGAAAACATTTTTAATACAATCTCATTTATTATCACTTTTTTTCCTACTTCAAACACACCATGCAGGTTTACTTAAGGATCTTTTTTAAAAGCCATTCTATGTTACTATTGCAAAACCAGATGATCCAAAAAACTAATTTCTTAACTCATGCTTGTATGTCTGTGACTTATGTCACATTGCTCAATTTCCTGAAAGTACATGCCCAAAACTTATAACATGCTTTAAAGTTTATCTGTATTTCCTTACAATCCTAGATTCTTTCTCCATCCATGTGTAAGCTCAAAATAGGTAACTTTCAGAATGTTTTTTGCAAGCAAGATAACTGCAACAGAAGCAAATGGCCTAAAGGTTACAAATATAAAGAGTTTATGAAGAATCCTGATTCCCAAGTATCTTTCCATATCTGTAAATGGCATCTCACTATTCTAGTATAATAAAAAAATTTCCTTTTCAAAAGGGTAATGATTTTTCCTTAATCACCTTCACCAGTTGCTTAGGTTTTGTCAGGAAAGACTGTTCCAGATCCTTCATGAAGGAACAACAGAATTGCCTAATATTTCTCTGTCTTCTTTCAAAAATGTTGTGGCTATGTAACTTTGGACAAAAATTTGCATAGCGTCTATGTACTACAAAGTTCTGCTGATACAGGAGCTACCTTACACTCTGCTAAGAATAAATGCCATCAGTACTACATAACACTTAGTAGCACAAGGCTGTTCCCTATAATAAAGCCAGAGGCTTAGGAAAACTGCCTACAGAACAGTCATGAAAATAAAGCAAAATAACATCATTACTTCTCGCAATTCTTGGTCATTTTTTTCAGGAAAAAAGTCCTTCAGTGTTTGCAGCTTTGCAGCTCTGAGGCCTTCCTCTACACCCTTCTTCACAGTTGACAGTGGATCCCCAGCATAAGTCAGCTGGGACAGTTCATCTTCAGACTCTTCATCAACATTCAACTGTTCAGAGCTATGATGGACGGGGAAGGAGAAAAAGAATTAAAATTTATTGTTGCTTATGGATGTTTTACTCTACCAGAACATTACCATAAACCAAAACCAGTGGGATCTCACAAAATGTGTTTAGATGCATTCAGTAACACTGAATCGACTTGTACTTAAAGCAGTACCTCTAATTCAGGACAAAATAAAGCATATATGATTATGTGCAGTCTTCTGTTTGCAGTAAACACATTTCAGCATTGCAACTACCCTATCATTTCCTATGGGGGGTCAACATCTAGATACTTGTCAGCAAAGCCAGAGCTGTACACATCAGAAACCTTGTCCTCTCCGTATAATCATAATCACATTCTTACCAAGCAAGAAGAAACACTCATTTAACTGTTACATGAGTATGACTCCAGCCCACAAAAGAGTTCTGTTCAGTGTTGAGTGTTAGAGTTCTGTTTTCCAACAGAGTCTAGACAGTAACTTTGGTAGTAAAGCTTGCAGCACACTTCCTTTAGAAAAGTTGTGCTTTTTGCTCTGAACTTTCTGCTTTCTGCAGAAATAAGTATCCCTGATTCAGGATAAGTGGGTGCTGGGATACACTGCAAAAAGAAAAGAATTCACAAACCCCTCAAACATTAGGTAACACATGTACTAAAATGAACAGTGCAAGGACACTCGATTGACCAATTCTGTGCAAAGCCAGGCTAAATTCAGCACAAGCCAGAGCTCATAAGCCTGACCAGATCCAAGCTAACTCTTGCCACGCTCCCAAATCATTTATTAGCTCAGCTGAATACCACTTGTGAGACAGCTTACTGGGTTCAGCACACATTGATTAGCACTCAAGCCAACACACCATGCCGAAGTTTTGGGTACTGGGGTGAATGAGACCAGTGGCTATGTACGAATAATGACAAGTACAAGAGAATGTAACTTAGGCTCATCTCTCCCACTAGGAGCCATTTTGCTGTCCATCTCTCACCCCCAGTAATCAGAGCACAGTTTAGAAATTGCAAGCTGTGTCTCTGCAAGTTGGATCCTGCACAGCTTATTAGCATCAGCATCACATGGTAAAAAAACCTGCTTGTAGTGCTTCCAAATCAGGCTGATCCCAGAAGCAGTGTAACTATGTTCACACAGCACTGCACAAAAGCCTATATGGTGCATGCAGCCATCTTGCCATCTCTGTACCCTTGCACAATCAACAGCTTAAGCCATGGACAGAAACAGGAGTTCACTCCACTATTTTTGCTTTTTCTTACCAAGTATCTCCCTTAGGTTGAAACTGTGGGGAAGATGCATTAAAAAAAATTCAAGAATTTCTGCTCCAGTAACTCCATGCTCTGAGGACTGAAAATCTGACAAGAGACTATGCCTGTTAAGGTTACTATTTCCCTAATCTATTTCCACAGATTAGTTCAGATAGACTATCAAAAAACAGGTTAAGCCATCTTGTTTTGCATAGCACAAGAACATTTAAGGGGCACAGACAATCAGCACCTGTCAGTCACACAGACATATAACTAGCAGGTAATAAGTAGCAGGCATTTTTTTAAACCATTCCAACTGGTTGTGGAAAATATCTGTCTACATCTTATCTCTTCTGCACTCTCAGTGCTGCCTTTTTAGCACCCACACAAGTGACTCTTGCACAGTATTCTCTGCCCTCCCAGCTAATTCAAATATATAAATTTCCATATCATGAAAAAATAAGTTTTCACTAAGCATAGCAAACACATCATACAACAAACACTTAACTTTAGCTCTTATACTTCACACTGAAGCTCTACTTGATTTCCTGTTCATCATGGTTTCAGAAAAAAAATGGAACAAGCTAAAAGCAACTCCAATATGGTTTAAAACTAATAAAGCAAGTATTTTATGGTTAAGCTTTCTTATGCCATTAAGAGGATTTCAGAGGGGCAAATGCACGAACATACAATGAACAGCACACATATCATTCAGTATTAAAGAGTTCCTCCCTTCCAAGCATCTTCTCTGAGTAAATGGCTTAAGAGCTGGATTCTTTTTCTCTGGAAATCCAGTAAGGTTTAATTAAGGCAGGTAAATCACCAACCAGTAAACTAGAACCTAGCCTCTGATTTTCAATTCAGTATTTCAATTTAGAACATTGTATCAGGTTGCAGAAACATTACAGAAAACGGAATTAATGCATACATTAAAACTGCATCTCCCCTTGGAGCCCAGTTTTCTTTTGCAGCACTGAAGCTTCTTGGTAGTTCATCTTCGCTGTCTGAAGACACATCTAGATACTGTATCCCTCTTCGGTTCTTGAAATAGGGCTTTTTCATTGGCCTCTTGTCTTCAGGAGTTTCTGGGATGGTAAAGTACTCTGTGGAAGCCATTTCAATAGGAGAAAAGATTGGAGACAATGACATGTAACTTATGACTTCAAATATCTATCTGTACTTAAGAGCATCAGATAGCTATCATTTCTTCCTTACACACAGCAACCATTTAAACAGAACTCACATCCTTGTGCATGGAAAATTCCTGTAAGCTGCATTCCTTTAAGTATTCACTTACCTGGCAAAAGATCCTTAGCCCTCTTACATCAAACAAATAATTTTTATACAGCAAAGTTTAAGAGATCATCTATTTTATGTTAATAACTACCTAGAAACACATTTTTATTTTTTGAAAAATTAATAATCAGCAAAATCCTCTGTAATACTTCCAGGCTGATCAGGACACAGATAGAAACATACTGGTGATTCTGATGGCTGATTCATGGTCTGCTTGTCTTGACAGTTTTCAGAAAGGGAACGTCAGCATTATACTGCAGAAAATTAGGAAGCTACTCTGAGGAACTTGACCAGTAAGTTGCAACTCCTATAATCTGTTTAGCCAGTCTTTTCCACATTATGCTGTAGATGATTCTTAACAAGGAAACTTAGCATCTGAAAGGATGCTTTGTGTTATAGACGAAGCATCAGGATATACAGAATCTGTATGTAATCAGGATATGTCCCTGGGAAGACATCTCATGAATCATATACTAACTTCAATGACACTAGCAAAATTAACCCACTATGTGTGCATTAGCATGTATTAACTTTTCCATTTTGAACATGCTTGTAAGACAAATGAAAGCATAAGCAGCCAGTCTATTCATGTAATTCCTGAATTAGTTATGAATAACGCATGGTTAAGTACCCTAATGTCAGCTACACCTGAAACCAACTCCGTGCCCATATCTAGAGGGGAAAACATGACCACACAGGGAAAGCTACACAAAGCCTGACATACTAAACAGGTCCTGAACCTGAAGCAGAGAGAGAATTAGAATACGATAAATAAAATAAAAAAACTTAAGCTTTATTAGACTTTGCTCTCTTTCAGTAAGAATACCAAATGCAGCTAAGGCACAGTATGCTCTAACTACATAAATGGTGTATTTCAAGGTACATTCAACTAAAACTCTGATGCTCCCGTATAAGCCTGGGCAAGCCCACGGAGGCTAGAACTGTTCTGATATGACCTTCAGAAAACCTTAAGAAAAAAAAATAAATTTAGTAGATAGATGTGGACTTGAACACACAGCTTCTAGCTCTTCTGTCTCTAAACCTGCATTAAAGAGAACTGAACACTGGGACACTACTGCCACCCCTTAAGTGCACTATTTCATGTCAGAAAAGCATTCAAGGCGTTTTGCGAAAGGTATGAGCCAAGAACTGTACTTAGCCTGACCTAGTGCAGCAGTCCCACACATTCATGACTTCACTCCTTTCCAGCACTTTACCATTTTTACAGCCAGTGCTGGAAAGAAAGAACAGTTGGCAAGCCAAGTAATTCTGTTTAAGACCAGACAAATTACGGACCCCAGAGGCATATGACTGAAGAGAGGAAGAACACATGGAGCAGAGAATGTGACAGCTGCAGAGAGCATTTTCCACATGAAAGTAATCTTGCAGAAAATAAATTTAAAATAACTCACTGTGGCAGCATTGATGGAAACAAATCCTAAACACACAAGCAAATTGCTGACATGGGAAATTACCAGTAATACTGGCTTTGAAAAGGAAAGGTACCCAACTAACTAAAAATGTGGTGCACTAGTGAAAAGTAAGAACCTGAAAACGGAGCTTAAGACTGGTTAAAGGGATGGGAGTGAGCATAACTCAAGCTTCTTTAACATCCATGAGGAAATGTAAATAAGAGTTCAGTGATAGTTGAAGCCTTAAGTCTTCACATGATCTTCACTATGCGTA